ATGATTTGGCCTGGGATGATACGGACCGGTGAGCTGGGGGAAGGCGAGCTGGGGGGCGACGAGATGGAGGGCGGTGGAGAACAGGATGTTTGGGAGGGGTGCATGTGGGAGATCAAGAACAACCTGCTGGGGGTCGCCCCTCCGAGCGGGGCACTCCGTTTGGGCTCGTGACGCGCCTTGCATCGCGCGACGACATCGAGTCTGATCTAACAATGTGGGTTTCGTGTTTAGTTTAGTTTTTTTTGCCTTTCTTTCTGGCAGCGCGTTTTACTTTTGCACTGGTTTTTTCTTCTTTGTTGCTGTTTTTATGTACATCCAGAATCATGGGGGGGGGGATGTCATGTGTGACCATGATTCTAGAGGGCATGAACAGCAATCGATTTGTTTTTGTTTCCCCATATGAACAGCTACCTTTGCAGGGGGGCTGTCTCCATGTTTGTTAGTTGGCATTTTGATATTCGCGGAGTGTTCTTGCATGAACTCTGGAAATGTAAGGGGTATGTTTCGGGATGTGACAGCGGGGGGCTGTCTATATGTTTGTTTAGTTTTCTATCCGTTTCGTGGACAGCAACGGCGGCACCGATTTGCGTGTGCGCACTGTTTAGTTTGGTGCTCAACGACTATACTGGAGCAAGGAGTTGGCAGGAGTGATTGTTAGGGCCTATGTGCTTTCCGAATACTCGTTTCTGTCGTCCAAGAAATTGTAACATTGTTTCGTTTGAGTTTTTGTGCCTACTCTTTGAAGCTGTTTTCCTCAGAATTGTCCGTCCCCATTCCGATGTTTTTCTGATGCAGCGCTGCCGCTTGTTTGGTATTTGTCTGAGAATGGTTCTGTGCTGTTGACGGTTTGAGATAATTTCCAGAGAAGGATGCATCGCCCAGCGGGGATGGAAACCACGGGCAACGGCGGTTTAGTGACAGATGTATGCATGCGGGTTTGTGGATCCGGAATTGTTTTTTTGGTTGGTTTTTGGTTTTGGCTTGTTTCGGCGTTCTTTCGGATTTGATTTTGCGATTGAAATTGCACCTGCAAGAATATTTGACGGCATGAAGGCTGCGTTGAAACTGTTCAGAAAGGATCATGATGATGGAATAGGGTTATTGGTTTGAATCCTTGCGGCCATGTCGCGAAGGCCGCTACTATGGTTGTGCTTGTTGTTTTTGTTTTTTCCTTCTGCGTGTGGCATTTTTTTTAGGTAGAAGGCTCTATCTACATTGTTGTTGTCCCCTGTGTGTTTGGCGCGCCTCTCCATGTACCATCGGCCAGGGGTAACCCCTCTATTTATATAAAATGCTATGTCTTCGATGCTGTTGTCAATTGTCATTGGGGGGGGAATTGGTGTGTCATGACAATTAACTACAGCAATGTTACGAAGAATGGAATGTTTCGTCTGTTTTCGATGTTCGATTTGCAGAGTTCGGGATTTGACAATGCAGGTTGCGATTTTGGGGTTGTTTCCAGTACCCAAATGTCACAAGATGCGTTTATCAAGTAGAGGGTTGATCCCTTCACGTCTGGTGTTCGGAGAAGGGGGGCCGCAGCCAGACATGCATGGGTAGGGTATGCAGGAAGAAAATAAAAGGTATTGTAGGAAACTGAACGAACGGAGGTTTGTTTGTGTTTGAGGAAAAATAATGAAAGAAGAAGGGGGGCCTATCTTTGTAGCACTCCATGACTCCAATGTACCTCGCGCTGTCAACCACGCAGGCAGGGCACGTAGCGATGTCACATGTTTCAAGGAGATTTTGTTTCTGAGGCAGGTTTGGTGTTGCTCCCATGTTGCTGAGGTATTCTGGTTTGTAATTTCATCGTGTTTGTTGGACATTGAATTCAAGATTGGCCGATAGAAAATACTCGAAAGAAAGGGTTTTTTTGTATTAATGGTCTTCGTGTTGTTATGAGGATGAGGTATTATTGTGGAGTCGAGCATTTTTGTGCAATCATGATTCTTGTGCTACGTGTGGATTTGAAGTCTCCTCGGAAAGTGATTTGTCCCGGACGGTGTTGGATGTGTTTGCATTTGTGTTCGTTTTCATTTGTTCCTGATATAACCCATTGCGGTTGTTTCCACGATTTGAGTTTTGGATGATTTGATATTGGGAATTTGAAATTCATGAGCGACCGATGGAAATTGTTGGTGGTGTTCCTGGTTTAATGGTTTGGAACCGATGGGAATTGCAATCAAGTGTTTCTGGTTTAATGGTTTTTAGTGAATGTTTTGATTTTTGGAGATTCTGGATACAATGGAGACCGATGGAGATTCTGGTAGTAGGTGTTTCTGGTTCGTTTGCGACAAATGGAAGTTCGAACTAGTCTCTCTGGTTTAATGGTTTATGGTTGTTGCAAGAGGATGGGAGGAGAAACGACTGTTGCACAATGACATTGATTTCTGGAGTTTTTGGGATGGGTTTCGTGTGATGCATAATATAAGCAAGTTCGGGTATAATCTTGACAATGCAGCGAGCAGGGGGGCTGTTGGATGTACTCACAGCATTGACAGATTATTGCAACCGAGGAATGTTCCTAGAAGATGGAGCGGGGGATTTTGGGGGTTCCGCAGTTGTAATAAATTGGGGGAATGGTGGTACCATCTTTGCCACATATTATTGTTTTCTGGGTATGCGTGTCAGCAACGGTGTTGGCCACGTGCCCTTGATTTATTCATCTTCCTTTTTCCCGGCTATCACGCCCTGGGCTATCACGCCCGTGCCCATACTACCTATCCACCATCTATCACGCTGCCAGGCTTTCACGCCTCTAGGCTATCACGCCATCACAACAGCTATCACAGCACCAGCGTCAACACATCAGAGCTATCACGCTCCGGAACATCATAGATGCGGCGGGTTACCACACACACCCGTGGGCAGTTTACTGTATTTTATCGTTGCCGGCAAACTCGCCGCGCGGTTCTTTTATTTTTGCCGTCTACAACTGCGCCGGGCGCACCAAGCCACCCAACACGCTAGCGTGTTGAGTAGCTTTGTGCGTGGGTGCCTCGGCGCGGGGTCCCGTAGTGGGAAACAAAAGGTGCCAGCAGCTGGGTACTGCCAACGGTCAAAATGTAGAAACTATCCGCGGGCGTGAAAGCCCTTCTACGTGGTGGAGCGTGGAAGCTCGTGTATAATATAGTTGTGGCGTGGAAGCCGGGTGGCGTGGTGGCCCTGATGTAAAGGTATATTTAGGGACGTGGGAGTCCTGAAGGCGTGGAAGCCGGGTTGGCGTGATAGCCGGAGTATGGGCGTGGAAGCCGGGGTTGGCGTGAGAGCCGGAAAAAGGACTTGATTATACACAGAAAAAGGAAGTGAGGAACCACAAGCCACGCACACAAATTCCGTTGTAGACACCCATACCCTCAAACCTGCAATATGTGATAAAGTTGGTACCACCAAATCTAATCCATAGCAACCATTGAACCCCCAAACTCCCCGCTTCATCTGCTCGGGAAATTCTTGCTCGCAATAATCTGTTGATGCTGTGAGTACATCCAACAACCGCAACGGATTTCTATAGATGTTTCTGAGATTGTTCCGCTAGGGTGTGGCAAGCACCACGAGGAGCGCGCGCGGAGCGCGCGAACACGTTGCAGCACACGACACGGCGGCTTGCCCGACATGATCTCTGTCTGAGATTGATTGACTTCCCCGACCCGCGTTTTGATTGTCTTGCCAGTGTGCGGGCGTTTGTTGCCGTACGCATGCATATGTAGCAGCGAAGTGCCTCCTGCAAGATGCCGACCGTGACAAATCATCCATCGTGGTTTGGTGGCGGCGGATGCGCCGAACGAATACGAATTGCACCTGCCTGCTCAGTGATCTCCACAATGGGACCGAAGACTACAAGTAGCGGCTGTAACTTACAGCTGCTGCGTGATATGTAGCGGTCAGCCATATACTGTATATGGTTAACCATAACCATAAGGGATTCTTCTTCCTCTCCCTCCTCTCTTCCTAAAAGACTGCGTCCGGTGGCTGTTGGGTACCGCGGAGAAGGCGGAGGGATTATTTGGTGAAAATGCGGCAGTACCTCACCAACCGACACTTGTTTGCTTGCCTCACTCTCTTGCCGATCTCCCTTTGTACCTCGAAAAAGGAGTGAGACGTACATACACGCGCGAGTAGGTTTTGACCTTGCTCATCCCGGCCCGACACCGACCTACCTGCAACCAAGTCGTCGTCCTATTGGGGGGCAACTTCCGAAGCAGCCATGTACAAAACCAAGAGGTGTGCACAAATGACATGAAAGCACCACCACCATGGTTGGGGTCATGGTTAAACCTTATTTTCAAGTTGTTGTCCGAGAAAGGGCACACTGCTGTACTGCTGTGCCTGTGTCATGGGCGGTAGGGGGCGAGACGCACAAGTGCGGTGGTAGAAGAAGAGCGCTGCTGCAATGTGAACCGTGGTCAGGGTGCTGTCTGTCCATCCAAGCTCTGTACACATTCATCATGAAAGACGATTCTTTCTCAAGTATATGTCCAGTGCCGGCCCGCTCGTAAGAAAACACATACTTTGAGGGCTCAACGCCTTTGCACAACGATTGAGCGCAGGCTGATGCTAACCTATCATATTCCATGAGGTAGTGTGGTGCTCGTGGCTGAGTTAATCTTCTTTCGCAAATTTGAATTATTTCCTAAAAACACGAGAATAGTCTTCGTTTCGTTGAGTTGAAAAAACAATTGGAAAAAGGAGTCGACTGCTTGTGAGCATGTTCCTACGAGCGGGTCGGCCCTATTGTACAAGCAACAGCCGTAGCACAAAAACAATATAAGGGTAGCCTTTGTTCATAGCTATGTTTTCACGCGCTTTCACGATACCAAGACCCTGCAATATGACGTTGGCGAGTGCCTGGTTCAAGGTGAGAAATGCTTCGCTGAAATATTCCACCAAGCATACAAGCAAACGGAGAAGCACGTCACGCCCTCAATGCTCGGTGCGCGCCTGGTCAAGAAATCACGCCGGACGCACTCACATGATGTTCGCACAGATTAAACAAGAACATGGTGGATGGTGGCTCTTATATAAGCATCGGCGACATGTACAAGGGCAACAAAATAATTCTCCCAGACCGATGGAAGGGCAAGGGGCTTTCGGTAAGTTGTGCTCGCTATAATATTGCTGTGCGTTGTGGAAACTCAGGTTTTACGCTCCGGAAAATACGTGCACTATTATACTTGGAAGAGGAAGCAGTTTAAGTTGGAATCACCTGCTGTGAGGCTGCAAATACATTACGGATCGGAATCTTTCGGAAAGGAATACGTGGACTAGTTCGAGACCGTTGCACATGTGATCTAGATCGTCAAGGATCAATCCACAGTCCGAAACTACCGCTGCTTCATTTTCCGCATCCGTAAACACGTAGCTGGACTGAGAGTACCACCGTACGTTCGGCCCCAAAGGACGTGAATCGAGGCTACATCCAAGACCCAGGGTGCAAACGTTGTCTGATTTGATTAATCTTCCTAGCTCTAATCGTGCTCGAAGTTTCGCCAGCAACTCACCAGCAGGTACATAGCTCACCATCTTCGGAAAAGAAGAAGTTCGCGCTGCCAACGGACCACCCACTTGAAATCGGACCCACGGAGAATCTTGTGTATTTTAAGGCAAACAGAGCCATGACGACTCACACCATGGGTCTACAGCAACGTCACGGAACGGTTACGTGATTTCACTTGTTCTTATTGCACACCGAGCGCCTTAACACCTGGGGTGCCATGCCACCTACACGCGGCCTGCGTGGGAAGCAACGCTGAGAAATAGACTTGCGCCGGCGCTCGCTATCATGTGCCAGGTGCCCCAACTCCCCAAGAACGCGGAGAACGGCAACTTCAGCCGGCTCGAGTACAGAAGTGAGCCGTATGCAGACATGGAGAAATTCTCCAAGACCCAGCCGCTGGACAAGAGGAAGCTTGGCTTTGGGTGAGTTCGACGTTCCGCGTCGTTGCTCACACTATCCTTCCCACCGTTAGTGTGCTTCCGTCTCCCTCACTGGCGCCAAGTTTATGCGCCTACCACCCGGTCAACAACCATCGAGGCGTGGTAAATGGTAAATTTGAAAGCAACTCAAGGATTGTGGCTTTGTAGTTATTCTTGGCGGGGACAACAAGTCTCGGGATCGCGCCCGCCCGCATATCGCGTTTTCCCGGGCAATAGTATTGTGGTGGCGTGGCCTCTCGTGACCTTCTGAACGAGCTTCTATCGATTTCCACTCGGAAACAAATGGTGTTGCTAGTTGGAGGGCCAGACGCAACGCTCTCAAGCTGGATCATGATGAGGCACTCCACATACACGATTCCGCACGCCATGCCGCCTCTAGAACAGGTACCGGGTCCATCTTCCCTGGCCCTTGCCAGAGCCCGTGATGTGCGCTCTCTCCCTCTGCTCGCATGTTATTATAACACTGAAAAACCGAAGACAGGGCCTCCTTGAACCGTCGTGAAACCCTCCAACATGGACGACGAAACCACCTTTAGCACAAACGCCGACCATTACTATGCTGCTGTCACTCCCGTCACTGTCGAAATCGCACCCTCCCCGACACAAAAAACGCTTGCAGCACGAAGGATGCCTTTCGTCCGGGCGAGTTCACGGCGACCATCCGAACGGAGCAGTACCGTGATCTTCTCCGGGCCGAGAAGAACATCATGGAGAAGCACCGCGACCCCGCCAAGGACCAGGCTGCAGCCCAGGTGAGGGGTTGGTGTAGCGTATGTCGCCGTAGCGTTTGCAGAGGTAGGCCAGGCGACGGCGGCGGCGTGTGCGACACACTGCGGCACGTGCTTGGTGGGAAAGCTTCGGCTTCTTTTGGGTGTTATTACGCATTGACCGCGCGCTGATTGAATCGGTGCAGAACGCGGGCTCATGCGGCGGAGGGAAGACGTCTTTAGGTCAAAGGCGAGGACAAAGTCAACCAATACCAACGCCAGCCAACCAATAGCAGCAGCGGCAGCAGCAGCAGCAGCAGCGGCCGCAGAGGCAACGACGAAACATCTTTGTTTCGTGTGGTTGGTTAGTTTGCTGTTTTTGCCGTTCCGAGGCATGAACATCCACCCCTCCGCTGTCGTCCGACTACATCTGATCGGCAGAAGTACGAGAAGGACTGTGCGGAGCATCGAGCGTTTCCCGACGGCTTGAAAGAAATCGAACACCTTTACGACGTCGGCCGCAGCCAGGTAAGGAAATCTCACCTTGTACAAGCATCAATCAAAGAAGATTAAATTTTGGCATCGGCGCTCAATGCAATGGACTTAATGATGACTCTTTTCCAGAATAACGTACCGGCTTCTGGGCTAGTTTCTAGCTAGAGCACGGCGGCGTGAATCGAAGGTTGCCGGAAGTGCTTGTTCCTCGTTTTCGCCGAGTGATGCCCAGGAGAAAAAAAATCTTGGTGTTCTAAGGGCAACAAACAATAGAACTTAGGAATGTCGCGCGTGACACCTGTGCCTGCAGTCTCGATGCGGTACACGCGGTTTAGCTAAGTGCCCCGCTCGGCAGTTTCACATCCATGACGCATCGCCAGGATATTTCTCAGATTATTCGAATCGCGCCGAGAAAGGAAGGGCTTTCAAGCGGGTATACCTTTATGCGTAACAGCCCGGCTCTAGACAAAGACTCATCGGGCACCAAATGTGGACCTGAACGTGAATCGGATCCTCGCCGTAAAAAAAATGTCGATGGTCTCTCTAGCAACGATTGTTGCCTTTTCGCTGCTGTGTCTCGACAAGGTGACCGAGTTTGACCCCAAGAACTCACGGGACAGGTTCTACACGCTGTCTATTGGCCAAGAGAAACGGCGGGGCCCCTATCGCACAATGGCTCAGGTAACGTCCGTCTACCTCTACCGTTGTTCGAAGTCGGCAATGTGTACGTTGTCTGGTGGGAACAAGCGTCTTCTTTCTTCGTTGTAATAAAATATCTACGGTATTTGTCGCAGTTGTCGTTGTCGTTGTCGTTGCTCCAAAGTACAACCCCAATGCCATAATATGCGATGTCACGACCCGCGGAAACTTGTAGCACACCAACCGTGTCCGAGTTTACTCAAGCACTTAGGAGTACAACCAAGACGGAGAGACAAAACCAAAGCCGGCACCATCCGCGAAGCTACAAGGATACTGCTGGCCTGGCGTGAGGATGTTCTTTGAGTCCGACAGATCCTCCTATTGTCTACTGACTCTTCTTCTACAGCTCTCTGACAATCTGTGGTCTCCTTGCGTCTCATCCATCACCTGGCCCTCCCAATATTCAGAGGATTTACGCTGTATTGGGCAGGGGTTTTGAGGAGTTGCATACTTCACCAGCTTGAGGCACGAGGTTTTCATCGTAGGACCCCTTCGGGCATGTATACGTAGCTCATACGTGCTCAGCACCACCCCAGCGAATTGTTCAGAGCACAACCGCAAAGTGGGAGAGTTTAACGGGGTTTCGAGGAACGTGTCTTTTTTCTTGGTGTCCTGATGCTGGAGTTGTGGGTGTGAGCGCTATTTCTTGAAAGGATGAGATGACAGCAACTCACGGATATCAGGCGTACTGCCATGTCCCGTCCCGCTTCGCTGCCTCACCCAGCTGTCCTCCATCGTTTAGCTGGGTGTGGTACCAACCTATACATCACGAAATGTAACGCAAAAAACGAGCGAATGCGGAAGAATTCAACGCAAAAAACGAGCGAATGCGGAAGAATTACAGTACTCCAGCCAATGTAACGGTGCGACAACACACAACCGAAATTATACCTACACGGTCGTCCCTGACCTCTTTGGTTGTTCGCCTGCATGGTGGGTTTGACGTTTTCCCGCTGTGTTTTGTTCGTCAACAAGAAAAAGCTACGAAAATATTCATGCAAAGAACGCGACGAGCGTACAACGCGTAACGGCCGTAACACAGGACATCGGATCCGGCGCTTGGGGGCACACGTACCAGTCGCCGGAGCACGGGCCCATCCACCACGTCAAGTTCTTCTACGACAAGAGCCACCTTTCCTTACCGCAGAGCTAAAGTTGGGACCCCGTTGGTCTGGGTGGTTCTGGTTACCGAACCTTACGCAGTTGGTGCAGCAACATTTTCTTTCAGTGGTAGTAGTAGCGGTGGCCGCAGCGCCTGCGGCAATTCGAGTAGAAGTTAGTTAGGCGCTTCTGTGAGTTGGCTCCGATTTGTGACGGACTTCGTGATTACTTAACTTTTGTTAGCGTACAAGCGACGACCAATATCGGCTAGCCGGCTAGCCCCAACCAAACCATCGTTGATGTAGATATTCTTCTGTTGCGCCCCTTATTTGATGTTCCATCGGGCTGATTGATGCACACCTGTTCCCAACGCCAGACGAGTGCCTTCTGGACTGATATTGTTGTTTTTGGCGTATCTGCCCACTCGAGGCCCGCCTTCAACCAGATTATCTCACAACACAACAATATACGGCAGGGGGGAGGGGGGGAGGTCGTGCATGCCGTAGTCGTTAGACCGTTGACCTCGCATCCCTACAAAGCCGGGACGGAGCACGCCGGGTTCTCACCGGACCAGGCTCTCACATCACCAAACGCGAAGCTCCGTGAGGTATTCGGCGAGTCGCATGAAGGGTGAGCTGCATCCTGCTAAGGGTGTTCGGCATCTTGTGCTTACTTACTTGCGTACGGATGACAGCTACGTATGACTTAATTTATTTTCTGGTGCTTTCACTTCCAGAGACAGTTATAAGCACTGTGTAACTGCCTCGAGAGTGCTTGACCATTTTAACACAACATGGTGCGACTATTCCCTTTGCGCGGAGTGAGGGTTCTCGACCCCGCACAACATAATCTACTCGACTACCATTCATGGTTACCGCCCCAAAAAAAAACCAGAGGTGAAAAAACCCGGCAACCTGGTTGCCGAGCTCACGAAGTGATCGGCTTGTATTACGTCATCGCTGCCAAGCGACGAAAACCAACCCCGATGGCAAACACCGGGGGGGGCGGCACGTTTTCAAACATCTTTGCCAAGCGACGAAAACCCAACCCCGATGGCAAACACCGGGGGGGGCGGCACGTTTTACAACATCGCTGCCAAGCGACGAAAACCCAACCCCGATAGCAAACACCGGGGGGGGCGGCATATTTTACAACGTCGTTGCCAAGCGACGAAAACCGAACCCCGACGGCAAACATCGGGGGGGAGGGGGGGGATCAAGCGTAGCTCCTCTGCTCGCTATAGTTTGAAGGCTACCCTTCTCCTTGGTGCGCTTGTATTCTGTCGTGAAGTCGTATCGTCGCGTTCGAATGCAACTCCATGGATTCCGACAGTACTCTCGTCCGTCGAGTGCACTCGTCTTCTCTCGCCGTGCTCCGCGAAAGTGCCAAAGTATGGGGAGAAATCGCTGAGATATGCCTTGATTGTTTTTCCCAGCGACTTGGGTTTTCCACGGAATAAGGATTCGGCGTGTTTCGGGGAAGGCTTCCCCGGGCTACCTAAAGTAGTCGTGGTGGTGGTGTGGTTATCGCAGCCGTTGGGTCTGCTGGAGCATCGCGTTCTTCGAAAGATCACCGGCAACAGCAAGAACATCAACAGAACATCTTCTTGCCGTAGAGCCGTAAGCACTAAAGCACCCCGAGGTGCTGACATGGGCTATTGCATGCCTGCACTTGAAGCCGCGGGAAAAAGGTTTTGAGGCTCTGCCGAACGTGCGCGTGACAACACACGGGGACGCAGTTTCTCCTCGCCGACATGATGTACTGCTGTACATCTCAATCTCCACGCAACCGTTTTCCGACTCTGTTCCAACGATTGGGGGGTCTCAACCTTAGGAGGCATGCCATTCTTGCAAGGGAAGGGGCGCGACTGCTGCTCTTGCCGACCAAAGGGGGGGGTCAGTGTTTGCTTACAAGTAAGTGTGGAATGCTACCCCCCCCTCCGAGTGCCCAAAAATTCAAACTCAATATAGAGCAAGAGGAAGAGGTTCTCTACCTTCCGAACCTCGATGATGACGGAGAAAAGCAACCATGTCGGCCAACACTGCGTGCGTGCGTGCGAGCGAAGCTTTTCGTGAAGATTATAGCTTAGTCATACCACACACACATCGATGTATCGCTGCCAGCGTTTTCATCGCTTGCAATGCAGACCGATATTGACGTACAGCTACTGTAGCTGCTGGCACATCAAGCAACACCCACTCATCACTCGTCTTTGTATTCCCAGGATCTTCTCCATGAACACTCTCCAGCTGCAAGCTGACAACATAAACAGTTCGAACAAAAGCAAACGAACTATTTGCACCTTAAATGGACGGGCGCCAAAAAACTCCCAACCAAGAGACCCAGCGCCAAAGCACCACACTGACACGAAGCAGCCGATGTTGGAAGCATCGTTTCATCCTCCGGCGAATTGAAGAAAAAACACTGAAGGATTGAAGTAATTGTTGTTGCTGTAGTTGTCTTCGCATTAAAAAACCGTTCCGATCTCTGTATCCAGTACCTCCATCTGTCTGTGTACTTGTCTAACACTTGACGCGGTCGATTCCCGTGGCCACACGCGTTAACCCACCCAAAAAAAGGCATGACAAAACAAAATGGACCCGAAGGGTCCGCAAGTCAATAGAAATCAGCGACAGATAGTCTAGTACCCTCCGCTCGCCTCTACACGTTAGGCGAGGTACGCCTCTACACGTTATGCGAGGTAAACAGAGACTAGAAGTCAACATCACAAGTCAGAGGGTAGCATATTCCCTGGTTCAATCTGGGTATTTAACACAAAAAGAGAGAAGGCCACCTGGGTAAAAAATAATCAGAGAAAAGGCAAAAGAAACAGAGAGAGAAAACAGAAGAAGGAAAAGGAAAATAAACCAAAATAATGAAAAAGAGGATGACACGTGCCAGAACCACCTATTCTGTAACGACCCAACATAACAAAAAGGGGCACCAGAGACAGCAAACGCACGGTAGTCGCTTGTGGGGCGATGGCGAAACGGTGCAGTGATTGGGGGGGGGGGGGGGTAGTTAATCAAGGGTTCAATCCGGCACGAAATGCGCCACTCCGTCCCTCTCGTTTTCTTTCTTCGCTTGCCGCCTCGTCCGTCTGCTGTCCCCCTCCCGCCCCATTGGTTGTAGTCATGTCGATGTTTGTTGTTTCGTTTCAGCGCTCGTTGTCGGCTATTCTCCTCTTCATTCTAGTGCCAGGAGGCCATGAACTTCTTAGCTCCCCGCAGTACCCCCCGTATGCCACGGTGCACCCCGCTCCACCGTCACTGCTTCCGTCCAAGTTGCTTGCGGGACTCCGAAAACACATGGCTCGGCGTCCGTAGATCCGTGCTTTGCCTCGAACATCTTGAGGTCGCCCTTCAGGCACATCTGCCTGTTTTACTCCGGTTTCCCCCTGCCTGGGTCCTCCCCGTCACCAGTAAGCCAAGCATTAACCGTTTCGGGAGTCGCCCGTCTGGCTGCCTTGCCAATGCTCCCGTGAACAGTGGGCGCCGTTGCCGAACAGTGGCTTCCACACTCTGACACCCTACCCTTTTCAGGGTCTGGTAGGAAAGCTGCTGGTAGGTGCCATTCTTGCGGTGGTAACCGATAGCTTGCAGGAGCCGCCGGTGATGAATCGATCGCAACAGCCGGTATTGGTCTTGACGTCGGCCCCATGTCATTCAACGTACAGCAGTGCCTCCATCGCCCCCGTCTGGAGCAGGCGAGCCTCGAGTCGGAACCGTGCTTTCGGCCTGTCGAAGAGCTCCCGGCCGTAGCTCCTGATGTACGCCCACGCTGTTCTGTTTTCCGCTTTTTTCTTCGGTAATTGATCTCCCGGGTGAGGTCGCAAAGTTGGTTGACGAAGCCACTTAGGTACTGGAACTCAGTCGTCTGGGCGTACCTCTGCCCTGCCGCCTCTATAATCAGCGGTGGTGGCGGGGGAGCGGTGGTATTGACTGCTTCTCTGTAGTGCGCATCAAGAGCGTCTCCGTCTTCTTCTCCGATACCGTCAGCCCGAACTCCCGAACACCTCCACGATGACGGCCATCTTTCTCGCCAGTCCGTCGGCCGACCTCGATACAACGCCGGCGTCATCGGCGTACATCATCTCCCATACCGCCGTCCGCACTCGGTCAAGCGGTGTCCCCTCCCCCCCTCCCGTGTCCTCCGCCAGGTACAACAGATCCTGAATCGAATGACTACGACCTCGAGAACCGCGGCGAAGGAGATGTTGAAAAGCAGTGGGGACAGCACATACACACCCAGAACCATGTCTGAAAACTTTCCGTCGTCCATGCGCACCCGGGATTGCACTCCGTCGTGGAAGACAATACGAATATCGCTTTTTCCCAGTCGTAAACATGGACGTCGAGATATCTCAAGTATCCAGTATCACCCTTTTGCTCCCGTGGTCTCCCAGTGTGAACCTACTTGCACAGTGAAGATATACCAACCATCACTCTATTGTCTGCTGCTCTGCCAATCAAGTTCCTCCTAGGATAGTTTATCCGCCTCGCTTCCAGAGGGGAAACATCTACAACAAGTCCCCATGGTAGGCGCGTGCAGTCACTTTGTGACGGTAATCGGTCAATCAGTATTGCCGAACTACCTCTTGGAAAACTTCGAGCACAGCCCTCTCCGAAGCAAGTATCTCTACACGTGCTTCATGTGTCATACTAAATAAACAAATAGTTTTGTCGTCGGTGTGTCACGCTCCTTCGGATGATCGAGCTGCCACAACATTGTCCGTGGCGGCGATCATCGCGGTGTCCACAGACCCCCCGGCAACCTGCAAGCACAAAGGGAACAGCAGGAGCGGTAGCTCATCGACGTTACCATACTGTGAGCACATGCGGTGTAGGGAAACTGGCTGGTTCCCAAACCTAAGCGCTCGCCTTCTGCCTTTCTTTATGGCACAGAGGTTTGATGCTGATGCCGTATGGGCTGGTACGCTTAGCTGTTACGGCGATCGTGGGGTAGACGACAAAATTTGCACTGTTGTGTGACTTCAAGAGTAGATTATATATCTGTGGGGTCATCTAATCTCATAGCTAGAGTGCGAGGGACGCTCCCGAAACGCCTTCCAATTGGCGTGGTTTCTCGGAAAACGTAGACGACAGTTTCATCCCGAGGTCCGTTCGAGAAACAAAATCCATCTGTGAACTGCGCGTGCAACACACGGACCGTGTGGACACTGATGTGTCCTAGATTTTGATCAAATTGTCTTCGTTGTTTTCAAATGTTGTTTCAACCATTCGTAGGTATTGGGACATGAGAGCGATGGTAATACAGTACCACAACAATTGCCCCGATGCCAGTGATACCTGGTCTGGTGAACGTCCTGCCGACATCTATTGTTTGAGAGACAACGGCACATCCCACAGATGGCCGGCCAGCTTCGGTACGAGGTTCGAACTCGAGTGGTTGACATGGATCTCCCTCCAAAACTGTTCCCCTTTCGCACCAAGGGTCCCTCAAGGTCGAGGGTTATCACAATGCCAAGGCCAAATCAAAAAGCATACACCTGATGTACACAGAAATAGTGTAATGGGCGGCACGACTCTTGTGTTGTACGTCTTATTCTGGGTTCATAGACGATACAACCTGGCCAACAACCAGCGGAAGACAAATATCAGTCTTCTTGCACGACTCCTGTACGTCGACGGCTCTGTCATCGCATCGCCAACGGCAAACCGTCTCCCACGGCCACTGACCTGTAGCGTGACAAGCTTCCCCTCCAGTACTCCCGGGGCTACTTGGTGCCGCCCCATGGCCGTTTCAATGGCAGCGGATTCCAAGCCCACCTTCAAGGGACAAAACAGAAAATTCCGGGTCCAACAGTAGGATCCCACAAGCACGATACCAAACTTGAGAGACGCAGTGGTTCAGGATAGGGCCTAGCACGTGATCTACGGGGAGGGAGATTGGTCTGCCAACGACGAACGTACCGTTCTTTTCGTGGGGTGGGATTTGCTTGTCGTCCGTGAGGCCAATACACATCTACTCCATTTTGTTGGCACCCCGTCCTCGGAAACGGCATACTCTGTTCGAACGTTGGGCGGCTAAACGGTTGGCGGGTAGGGTTAGGGTGGGCAGGTGTTTCTCCACGACTTTGCAGCTCCTGGTTGTTCCAACTCGAAAACACTCGTCGACATCGCTAGGTCTATGGCAGTCCTACGTCCTTCGGTCCAAACAAAACGCCCCAAAGATCGTGTTCCTCCACCGGTTCTCGGCCAGAACGTATGCCCTTCCGTGGAATACTATGCGTGTACCTCGGCAAGCAACTACTGTATATTGTTCAGGCATATAGAGAAGACGATTCACCTCCGTCGTTGCAGCGGAAGGGCGTCTCGTTTGCCGATCGTTCTCTGGAACGTCCTGCGGGCGATGAAGGTCTTTGATCGCCTGCGCTTGGCTCTCGGTACCGTCCTGTGGTGCCGAACCATCTGCGCGTCTTCCTTCTATAAGAGATTGTGATCTTCTCCGCGGTAGAGCATCACTACCCTGACTTAGTTGTTTATTCTGCAGGATACGGGGGCGGAAAGGAGGGGAGGAGGTTCCGTGAATGGATAGCGGTAAATCCACCACACTTCGCACATGTCAGAGCATGGAAGATGAGTGTAACCGAACATTTGAGGGTACAAGGGAACCAAACGCGCAACTCGCGATGTGTATATCGTAAGACTTTGGGAGCAGTGAAGCACATGCCTGAACGAAACACGAACGAACTCGTCGCGAATGACCTAGACGTCCATGAACCCCGTTCGTCCGACAAGAGAGACACGACACGGTCGCCTGCACCGATCGTGCTCATCGACGTGTTCATCCTTCATGTTTGGATTTTAACCCCTTTCAGGGAGACGTTAACATTATTCATGCATACAGTATTGTCTGCACGTCAGGAGGCAGACACTTCATGCAACGAATTCCGGGTGCCTACCATTAAGTAAGATATTTACGCTACAGGTCACCCTGTTTTGCTCGCCAACCGACAGGCACGAAGGAACAGTTAGCGAAGGAAGCTTCCCCCCCGACTATCAATAGACCCGACCCTTACGAAACGCAACACCTCTACGCAGACCCGTGTGGTACCCATTCAAGACAGGACTGCGGAGGTTATGACCATGGTGTGTGTTGTGTGTGTTTTCGTCCAAGTTATTACGGTGCAAGAAGTAGAAACGCTAGCGGGTATTTTCGTGACAAGATATTGCAGCGGTGTCGAACAAAGAACGGCCACCTCTACCGACACCTTCACGTAGCCCAGGGTTCCCGCTAGTCTGCACGTAACATCCAACCATGACCACGGCGATTGCGGGAAGAGACGGGTAGGCATAGAGCATAAGCCCTTGGTTAGCCCGTGCGTGAGGCTTACCCCAGGCCCACCGACTGCACATTGAAGGGCCGAATACGTCAACCTTTTTCGTACACCACTCATATCGCCGAGGTTGCATTTTCTTCGGCGTGTCTCACCTCCCGCGTACCCACAGTCGCATCCTCCCGCTCATCCGCCGCCGGACACACGTCCAAAAATTCCTCTTCTTCCAGTTGAGAGTCGTAGTCTCCCACCAGAAGGACATCATCCTCGTCGTCGTTTTCGTCGGCATTGACTGCAGCGGGTTCTGGGAGGTTTTCTACGTTTTCGCTCTGCCGTGATTGGCCGCATCTCTCAGCAACGTTGCAGTTGTCGTCGAATATGTCCTCCCCATCGGGATCCCAGTCGGACACAAGGAACACATCTTCTTCGTCTTCGTTTCCGTCCTGTGACAACAGTTTCGCCCACGGCGATCAGGGAACATTAGTGAACCAACGTCTAATAGATGGTCGCGGTTCGACCTTTCTACCCCCCGGTGGTGCATGCTTTCCAATCCTTGAGGAAGGCTTCACCGCCCCAAACAAGTGACCGTAACGATCAGCTCGACGGACGGGTTGTGTGCCGTTTCAAGATCGACTACCGCACGTTCGATCCATCGACGTATGCTCGTCAGCTGGACCCTGTCACCCCATTTCGATCGAGGGGTCTCGCCGCGGCCCTGGCACCAAGGCTTGAACGCGTTCCACTGGCAAGTATATTATCAGAACGAGAATCCACAGCCTCACCTCCCTCCAACGTATGGCTCATCATCGAGGTGGCAAGGGGGTGAACGTAAGAGTAGCAGCTCAAAACAAAAATCGCCTTTCGTACCACCACTCACCTCCTTCTCTCGTTGGCTTCCATCAGTGAGGACATCGCATCCTTCGTCCTCCCCGTTGTTAACGTCATTGATCTTCGCTCCTAGTGCACGGCGAGACCCGTCCGAGCCTAGTCGACCATCTCGATGTTCATCATCGGCTACCGCTGCCTCAAGTAGGCTTAGGATCTCTTCCCCCCCCGGTTGATCTCTCTACCGGCACGAAAAACGAGTAGATGCAGACGAGTGTGCACCGGGTTTTGTTCCTGTTTCCGCTAGGCCACACAGATGATGACCATACAAATGATGAAAACGCAGATGACCCCGCTAGGGAGGAAGGGCAAACACTATAATGAATAGTGCGGGAGGCGGTTCGCGGCGTCGGCGGTTTCACCGTGATTCGTTCCGTGCAGTGCCAGATCCAACCCATGCTTTGAGGTGTCACCAGCCGATGTTTCCCGTTACCACTACCCGGCCCCATTCGTCGGCGTGGATCGTTCTGTGTCTAGCAACGGCCTGGGAGCTCACAACGAAGAAGCAATGCGGGTGACATCGCAAGCACGCGCTCATGCGGAGTGAGAAAACCTAGGGATCGACACAACAACGATACCACGCACCTTAAGACCGGGTTGCACGAGAAATGTTCTGATTTCTCCCCGTAAGTTCGTAGAAAAGCGTAGAAAAACTCAACATCACTCACTCTGCTGCGGGCGACTGAAACAGGGGTGTCTCCCTCACTGTCCGCGGCCATAGGGTCCGCCCCCTTCGACAACAGCTCTCGGGTACACTCCAGTCGCCCCTTGATTTCGACCACACGGTGTAGGACATTCTTAAGGCGGATCGTCCCAGCAGATCAGGCTGTTGACAACGTGTGCTCTACTTGATGTATCTGATATAAACATGAGTATATTTCTCTAGAATCATGTCTACCGAGCCTCTTTGCAAGGCATTGGACACGCTGTAGAGCTAAGTCCTTTCACGATCACACGGTGTTGTCTGAACCCCCTGCAAGAATAGTATCCGTAGTGTTCAGCAACAGCGTGATGAATCGTTCTTGGGAAAACCCATCGCTCTTTTGCCTTCTCTCTTTGCGCCGTGCATGCGCGTGCCGAAGAGAAAAGGATGCCGTTGTATCAGCCCATTCCCACCTTTCTACACGCATGAAGAAGAGCGCTTGCCCCAGCCACATCCTTCTCTTCGACCTTAGCCCCGGCGGCGACCAAAGCCCTGACAACATCTTGCAATCCCTTGTCGCAAGCGGCATGGAGGGGGGCCAGCCCCGAAGACGTCGCACCCCCAGTTTCTGGTGAGCATGCCCCCACCAGCTGACTGACACACCCAACTGATCTCGCTCCATCTAGCAACGCCATCGCCGTTTGCTCATGTCCACCGAGAATTGCGTGAAGAAGCGGCGTTCGCGAATTCCAATCCTGCGTTCAGGTACCACACAATATGCAGGGGGAGATTTTTTGAAGCAAACATGAGGTTTGACGACAGTAGTCGCCCATCGCCATGGAAATATGTACTGCTGTAGAATAGACTAATAGACAGAAACAGCGAACCTAAATCCGCCGATGATGTGCATGATTCCGTGATGTGAGAATGGCTACAGTAACTTCATGATCTTGTTGCCAAACGAAAACATATCCCGGTACAGGTACAACCAGTTGTTGTACTTCACCCCTACAAAAGCAGATACCGCATTCGCGTAAAACCAAGGACAGCGCAAACTGTGCGTACAAGCCACTTACCTCCAACAACAGGTTTGCTCCACTGTCGACCAAAAGGAAACAAGTTTCCGTGTGCCCATATCGCGCCGCTGCGGTCAATGCTGACCCACCTATCCCATCGGTGCCCAAAAAACTAGATCTTCTTTCCTTCCCGTCTGACCCCACAGGCGCCACCCTTCGGTTGATGTCCACCCCGTGTTGAACTAGCAGTCTCACAAGTTCCGTATATCCACCAGTCGCGGCGGCCGAAAGCGGAGTCAGAGGGATGGTTTGTCCCCCATTCACCCCTGGGTGGTGCACGGTCGCTACGGAAGGGTCGACGTTGGCCCCGTTGTTCAACAGCGCTGAAACAACACCAACAGACCCTTCGGCGCAGCTGAAGTGGAGAGCGGTCGCTTGTCGCTCATTCTCGAGGGTTACGTTTGCTCCTCCAGCAATAAGAGCGAGAGCAATGTCTGGATGAGCGTACTGAGTCGCTACGATAAGAGGGGTATTCCCCCACATCCCCCGTTCGTCGAGATCAGCGACCTTCGAGCTTGGGACGGCACCGTCTGGCTCAGGCCTATCTTGGTACATCGTTCCATCGTCTCCAGCATCCACCGCAGCAGCACCTCTACCGGTGTTGCTACTGAGAATCATCTGTACAAGGGGCAGATCTCCGTTTTTGGCAGCGGCGTACAGGCCAGGATCGGCGCAAGTTCGTGGTGTGCGCATCTGCAGGCCACTGACGTCTGTGATAGTTTCGCCTTCCTCCTCCCATTCGCCCCCTTTAGCCCGAGGATTTTCCCCGCTGCGATGGTGTTCTGCTTTGCCCTGGACGTTACGATTTTCCGTATTCTTGCTCTGTGCGGGTCTTGCTGGTTGGATTTGTCCGACCACAGGCAATGCTGGCCGCGACTCCTCTCGTGCCTCTTCTTGACCTCCTGCACTCTTGTTCGCCTCATGCCCAGCTACTTGATCCGGCGGCCTTTGCCCCACCTTCGATGAGACGCACCCCATCTGCCCGTCAATGTGATACAGGCATCAGACACACATCTTCAAGAGCAGCGAACTCATCGCGGGTCGTCGGGGAAAACCCACCTGTGTATCATGAAAAACAAATACAAAACACACAGAGAGACAAAGACTACCCATTCGAGACAGATTCGACATATCTGTTCGTTCCGTTTCGTCGGTCTATTCCGCCGCATCCTATTCCCCCGCGTTTTTTTTCCCACCGCGTTTGTTTCCGGGAACCGGGAACTGGGAACTGGGAACTCTGTTCATCCTCTACATCTTGTCATCTGGTTTATCTCCAACGCTCACCTGCAAAGTCGTAAAGATTTAACATACCCCTATCGACTGGGGTAATATCTCGAACGGGCAGTCTTTCTGTGAATCTGTATGGACTTGTACCTAGGAGGCATATTCCACGGGTAGAAACGCGCGGCTGGGTAAATGTGGTGTAATCAAGGGAAGGAGAACTGACTACTTCTGTAGACTACTGCTGTACTGCAGCATACAGTAGTCCACTGTCAACACAAGCAGCACAGGCGAGTCTAAACTACAGCCTCCCTGATTATTTTGGACGTGGGCACATTCCCCAAGGTATGGTAACGCCACGGACTAGCTAGCCAACATGCTAAAACGCAGGGCGGGAGCAGAACTTTGGTCGTTTTAGGCATCCACCCGTGGTTCACAAACAACTGAGGTTGTTGGTCGCAATTTTTCTCGGTCAAACTCACCCTGCCTCTTCTCACTGACGAGCTCCGATCCAGGATCACACAGAAGTGTAATACCTCATCGCAGCATGATATTACGCAGACATGCGACGCAATGAAACGGCGGTTGCCAGGCGACGAGACCCTTGAGCACCTGGACTTCAAGAGACCAGACCACGACCCGATGCGCGCCGCCAGTACAGCTTGGGCTACATTGCCGGGATGGCGATGAAGGACATGGACACTGACGTTATTGTTGTTTAGGTGTGACAGCTGGTGCAGGTAGTGCTCTTGTTGCTCACGTTGATGTTGATGGTTGTGGAGTTGGTGGCGGTGGTGCCATTTATTTTTGTTCAGAATGAGAAAACGTTTTCGTGCCGCCACACGTAACTACAAGCACCGCGCAAGAATTAGATTGCGATCCAGGCCCCCGTGGGTAGTGTTTCGGCAGCAGCCACGGTGGTCGAGCGCCACCGGACTCACACCAACATCGACGGTATGTTGGTGTGGAAGGACTGATGCCCGCACTACAACGTGCGGGTGTCCGGCGCCAACGCCCTCGCCACAAAATTTGGCCTGGACCTTGGCCACGGCGACGCTGTGACCCTTGCCGCGCTTAGGCAGGGCTGTCGGTGGCAACGAGAGAAGGCCATGAGCGTTGCGGATGTTATCGGCCTCCGAGGAGCTAAATAAGTCAAAGGCTGAAGCGTTGGAGGGGGTTGTATAAGCTACTGAGGACATCGGCGCCAGGACATTTTCTTCTGTTTCCCGCCGAAACATGCAGCTGCCCTCTCTATCCCCCCCCCCACCCTACTGTACTTGAGGTTGCCAAGGCTTGCCAACACAATCTTGGTTTGGAGAACGCACAACTTCCACGGCCTCCCCGGCATGTCGGCGAACCCCTAGATGTACGGTTTGCCAAGAAAAAATGCGACTGTTGTGAGTTGTAGCACGTGCGTGGAGCACAAAGAGATCGGTCTCCTAGTACAATTCAATACCGTCTGGTGGACGCCTTGGGCCAGGAATCAATCGTTTAGAAGATCCCTTGAGTTAAATCTTCCTTCGACTGTGGAAGGCGAGAAACAACAGCTTTGCGGCAGGACATAGAGCGCAATATCTGCAGTACACATCACCCAACACCTGAAATGATCCACCCACCGAACCCACATACCTCTAAATGCGCGCGAGTACGGTGCTGCAATGGTTTGGAGGAGAGCACCCAACATCGAAATTGACGAAGAGGCCGATTCCGTATCATTTTTTCACTGTCTGAAATTTCACATGCGTGTGCAACATAACGATTACAGATGTACATATATAATATATATATATATATGCATGCTGCAGTTCAGCATGGTTCGGAGGAGAGCACCCAACATCGAAATTGACGGAGAGGCCGATTCCGTATCATTTTTTCACTGTATGAAATTTCACATACATGGGTGTGGAACATAACGATCACATATGTACATATATATATATATATGCATTCTGCAGTACAGCATGACTTGACCGAACGAAGCGTTTTCGTTTCTCTGGGAACCACACATCAAATAGGACAAGCACAAGCAGTCACGATTGAAGGTAGTTGCAGCACCACGAAAAAGCAAACGTAGGGCGGTATCATCGACGAAGTCGGTGCAAAGTATCGTGAACAAAACGCGAACGCGTGGAGGTGGAGAGGTGGGACTCTCCCACCGCTTCTCTTCAGCTGTTCAGGGCGATCTGGAGTCCAACATCGAACTCCATTGACCTGTTGGGGGGGGTGGCCACGACGTTCTGCGATGAGTTCGGCTGAAAAGACAACGGCAGGGCAAGAGACTACGTTGGGTGAAGTAGTTTCTTCTGGGACTTTCCACAGCAAACGAGGCTTCCTGCTTCATCAGGATCCCATAGTGCCAAAATCAATCATCGGAGGCAAACGTGGTAATGTTGGGCGCCCAAGCAGCCAAACCCATGGACCAGCCGCAGAGTCTCTAACGAAAACAAAAGTTTCAACTAGCACCTCCGAAGTCCTCCTCTACCAATTTATCCAAACAGTTCAGGGAGCTTCCAAAACAATTTGTATCATTGGGGCAGGAAACGGCGGGTCAAGGTTCCGTGGTGATGAAGCAAGCGAGTGGTCACCGAGACCCAGCCCGCCCTCATCGATACTTGGCGTCTACAGCAGCAGCAGTAGTTCGATGAAAAGGCGTCGAGACGAGGGGGAGAAGAACGACTGAAAGGCACATACATTGTGTCCAGCTCGGCTCGGAGGTGGTCCTCGCGAAGCCCTGGCGCCTCGAAAACCTTGCCCATGCCCTAGGTCGTGGTCTTGGCAACGGCCGCCCTCTCTTCCTCGGCTCGATCACCACAAAACAAAGGATGGGGGCCATGTGGCGCGAGTTCTTCACCTCGCGGCAAAGGGAAAGCAGGCCGTCATTGCGCTATGTCTAGAAAAGTGGCCGACATGTGCGTTGAACGCGCGTCCAGGGGTAGGTGGCGCAAGTCAAGCCCAGGGACTACAATAAAGGCGGAGGAACGATTCAATTTGTTTGAGGAACGCATGGCACCAGGGAACATGTGTGACGGCTATAAGAATATCAGCAAGGTTTCGATCTCGAAAAGGGGTTCATACGTCCAAGCAGATCACCGAAAATTTTTCGAACACATGACAGTGACTTAAGACGCGGACGCGAAAATATGGTGGAGATCAAACATTCTGACGGCGACGACGACAGATGGGAGAAACGAAGGCAGAAATACACGCCTCTACACAGGTCTCGCTTCTATGCCCCAACCTCTCGTAGTTCCTCTTCTTGCCAGATACTGACGCCGGCCTTCCTGAGTCATGCCAGGGCATGACCGAATACCCATGTTGTAACCAATAGTAGCAGCGATTTGACTGCAGTTGCTCATGTAACTGGGCGGGTTCTTTGATTGATTGATTGATGGCCGGATCTTTAATCGGGACTCTTGGGTTCAAGTTGAAGGGAGTGTGTTGCTCAGGCACTGCGAAGAAGATAGTCACAACAACATACGTACAAGGTTGAACTGACACTGACTCACCTTTCCCTTGGTTTTAAAAATGTCGTAACCGCCGACAACGTGGATAAAATGCGGTCTAATCTGTGCCGTTTTGCGACGTTTTTCAGAAGAGATGAATGTCTTCATACTTTTAGTCTACTTCTTTCAACGAGTGAGTGCGCCATTCAGGGACTACCGTAGGAGTATCGCGATAGGTTTTTCCAGGCCTTTAAAGTTGATGCTGGCGTTTAGAGTTTTTCCAGGCTTCACGGTGCACCGCCCACAGTACAGTACTTGTACCAGCTGCGAAAAACCTGTCGAGAACAAGCAGCAGGGTATGTTTGTATGGCAAAGAACCCCCGCCCCACGACAAAAGGAGTTAAACCTCGCCGCTCCAGCTCGGGCGCTCATACAACGCTACCATGCGTATGATATGTACGTCAGATTGGATTGTTGCGATGGCAGGTTCCACCGCATGCTAACCAGCGGTTTCAACTTATACACCCGTTCTCCCTCGATCTCGCCATCATGCACTCCACACGAACGCTCACCATTCCTCGACCAGCACACCTGACGTCGCCGGCGCCCCGCTTCTCAGCAATCTGCGGTACGTGTGAGTGGCACACTGCTGTACGCTTGATGCCACTGCACTTCTTCAGAGTGAGAGTCTCTAGGATGACTTTATGATGAGTGCGCACCTGAGGTCGGTTTCTCTCGCCGATGCGTGCTCACGGACAATTCTTAGGAAATATATACACACACACATACCCGGATAACAGCAGTAGTCTTTAGACGGATTGCCAAGATGAGAATCGAAGACCTCGCCCCGCGCAGCGGAGACAGCCGAATTCTCTGACATTTCACCACGCGATACGGTGGAAGCTGTGGATGTGAGTATTTCTCACAAGTTCGGCGATGAGTGTCGCCAAACTGGGCTGTCATCCACTCCTACTTAATTTAGGTGCAGACTGTAGAGCCTCATGCGTCGTTACGTAGACTATGCGCTCTTCTTACTCTCTCACTGTTGACTTCTTGTCCTTTCGTATCTACGTAGAGCCCCGTCTTTGTTCCGTTCAATGCGTTGACAGTATGGACCTAACGGCTGCATAACAGCAGCATTTCAGCTGAGCTCGCTCGCGACATCTGTCATGTTATAAGGCTACAAGTGTTGTTGCAAGGATAGGATGTGTAGGCTTGTGTTGGCGTGTCTTTTTTTTTTGCGCCGACGGCGGTCAGAGTCTGTCTTGTTGCGGTTCTCGGTAGCACTTAGCCCCAGACATGTTCCACCACATACGTAGAGAAGGCCTTCATAGGGCACTTGCGCGCGGCGATCTCCACCCCCTTCTGCTTGGATGCTGTGGGTCAGAGATATGCAGAGGGCTGCCAACATGTTCAAAATACAAAAGAAGTACCTCGTTGTAGGGGTTTCCAGAGAGTTTGGAAGGATTCCGATGAAAAAAACGTTTCGCAAATCTGCTGAATTTATGCCGCAGTGTGTCCAAACGGGACTTATATTGCCGGTCAGGGTGGTGTTTTCGGCTGAACGCCAGTCAAACACAGTATGAGTCCATCCTTGCCTATCCACTGGGTTCTCCTCGCCATCCTAGGGTGATGATGGTACTGTACTTTGGTAAACTCACCTTGCCTACTGGTGCACAGAATGAACCCGACGTGCCTGCCTGGGACGTACAGCAACACGTAAGAACCGAGAGCAAGAACGAGCGGGGGCCCACGGCTCAGACATGTTTGCTAGTCGCGCGAGGCGCACAGGGGCAGCGGGCTCTGCTGGCGAAGAACAGGTGTCTTGGTGTATCGAGTGTTGTGTGTGTCATTGGAGCTTTGAAGGGCACTTATTGGCGTGGTCAATTCTGAGACCATCACGAAGAGTCCACTACAATGGAGTCTACAGTGTAGTAGCTGTCCCTTCTGCCCCCGATTTGGTTGCTTGAAGGTTTCTTGAAGGTGACCAATGATGATGCCTGTGCCGAAAGAGAGAGAGAGAGAGACCAAGTCAGCCAGAAAGTGAGGGTAGGAGAGGCTCAGTCATGTTGAGCGTGACAGATAGATCTCCGGGGGCCAAGCACATGCGAAAAGGATGGGTGATACTCTTCTCTCGCGTTTCATCGTACAGAATCGACAGTCAATCAATCGGACGTTCGATCGAACCCTGTAGTGCAATCACCGCCATCTACCCCAGGATCTCCCTGTTGGGAAGGATCGCAGCGGGATGTACCGCTACGTGGGCCTCGGAGTTTGGTTGTTCATCTCGACCTTCATGGTCCTGGACCGCTTCTACTGGAACGTGTGGCCGAGGCAATCCATTTGCACAGATGGCTGTGGGGGTGATTTCTTCTGTGACATGGACGACGTGAGTTTATGGAGGAGTGGTATAGCCTAGTAGAGAAAGGTTCGTGGAATTGGAGGGACGATCGATCACGTTCATGTGCCGCCGGCCCCCTTTTCCGGTAGACGTCGGTGAAAATTGTTTGACATCTTGTCTTACGTGCATGGAACTTTGGTTGTTCCCGTATCGTCCGGCTCACGCAGGATCCAGGCTGCCTGAAGGCTGGACCTTGGTCCGCTAAAGTTTTCGATGTCATCGCTCGCATAAGCGCAAGGCTTATCATCTCCACCACAAAGTAAGGCGCAACTCCAGTCTATGCAGGACGTGTCGGATATGGGGTTTCAAGGCGCCGAATGTTCCATGTACACTCTATGCATGTATTTCCATAGACATGTAGACGAAGGACTGACGACCCGGCATCTAGTTGACTGGTTGAGCTCAGAAACTCTCGACGAGATATCTACGTTTAGCTGAACAGTCAACTTCCTGTTCCCTGTGAAAGACACCAGAAACCCTAGCACTTCCCCCATTCTCTCAAAAACTACATCCGCAGCTTGATGTTCATCACAATGTGCCACGGCACGTGGAACTGGCTGTCCGAGATCAACATGCTCCGTTCGTTGCTGTACTCATGGCGCGCGGACAACGCCTGGCTTCATGCCATCGGTGGCTGGACGCTTGGAGTGGTGACACTGCTCCACGTGTGGTCCTTGTTTCTACCTTCCATGTTCCACGGGTATCAAAATAAAGTGGTCGGTGGTCCTTTCGACATCCCCCTCCAGGTATAACCCTAAAGCGAGGTACACGAATAGGTTTTCCGCGCCTCTTTGACATCGCCAACTAGCGGGGTCTGTAAACATCAACGCGTTGGGACTTTGCCTCACGAAACTTTTATCCGATCCAGCAGATGTCTCGGATCACGCGCGTACGTAAAGTAGTGCGCGCGGCCTGAGTTTAGGGATTGAAGTGGCGCCAAGTATTGTGCTGTCGATTCTCGATTAACGCCACAAATTGCCGGATCTGAATGTGGCATCTGCCTTTGTAATGTATGCAGGTCGGCCTCATGGCGAGCAACGTTGACGTGCAGAACAAACTCGCCAACTGGGGATATGACGACGTCTGGCGCCTCATATGGATGACGCTAATTTTCTGCGTCCTGACGCCACTGTCCCGCTCAGTGTGGGCGCTCAAGAAGAACTTCTCGCTCGCAATGTGGCTTCACATCGTGAGTGGTGGTCTGTATCAGGGGAGGCTCTCAGCGATTGAGTATTGCTCCAGGCAACTTTATCGGGCAATGCGTACGTACCCTTACGACCGCACTTCGTTGAAAGGGGCGTCGATTTGCGCCACGTTGTTCGCACCGCCGAAGCAATTGTAGCCGTCCGACAAGTTCTGGGTCTAGCCGGCGTGTGCATATCAACGAGGCTGAGCCGTAGAGCCGGGCCGGGGTGAAGGGGACGACTTCAAAGACAGACTGCCCGTGGTCCCCAAATGATCACCTGCTGTTGCATGTATCCGCACCGTTGCATGTTGTCGCAGGGTGTGGGAATGGGATACTTCTTCGATAACTGGAGGCGCAGGACACACCCGCACGTCTGGATCCTCAACACTCCCGTGGTGTTGTGGTACATTGCCGACAAAATCTGGTGCTGCACGGAGGGCAGGTGTGACACGAATATTGCATTTTTGACACGGTCCGAGCAAGTATCCACGATGGTGAGCGCGTGGCCGCGCCACCCCACGGATGCGTTCGGCCGAAATGGCTCTACGAAAAGAGAACATGCCAGTTTGTGCTTGTGGGCACTCTTCAGTGAAACCATTTTTCGCGATGAGTTACAGATTTCAACAGCAAACGCAATTTGCTCAACCCATTTGTTGATCAGCTGACACCTCGTCAAACAACTAACCGTCAACAGGGTCAACCACCGTGCTGAAACAACGCGCATCAAGCTAGACGAGGACTACATGCTGCTGCTGTGGAACGAAGACCAGCCAAAGAGCATTTGCGATATTTTTTGGCTCAAGCACAGCGACAGGTACGGCGGTTACGGGTGATGTGGCAAGGGCGTCGGCAACGATGGCCAGGGGCAGGTGTAACGTCAAGTCTATTGCATCCCAAAACGCCAACCACTCGTTTCTTGCTCTACATTACGCTCTGAGTGACCCACACTGTATGAAAAACAGACCCCCGGGAAAGCCGTTCCTGAACCGGACGCTTCTTCAGATTTCGCGCGCCACTCACACGGGTCGCTCGTTGCCCCAAAACCACGTTCCAATGTCTTCGCTGCCCGGGGTAGAGACAGCAAAGGTAGTCGCCGAACGGGAGAAGTGGCTCACCCCTTCACCACCTGTTCTTCCCACGATACTGCCGTCGGGCACACATCCCCTGAGGCGGGAATTTCCACAGTGAGTGTTGTTCTTTGCGTTTGGAAACCACCCCAGTGCCTTTCTTGCAACTGTTTTTCCCGCTTTCCCTGGATGAAGCGTTCTTTGAGATCTCAAACCGTCTAGCCCTTCTGCTGCCATAAAGCTCGGTGTGTCACACGGCCGTACCGAGCGTAGCTCTTCAGGTATAGTCTAACTTCTCTTATATTTGCCTTGGCACACCGTGTGCTCTTCTCTCTCATCGGAGGCGCTGATAGCACCTGCGCAGGCCAACTATCATACGTATCAAAAGCCCTTGATGATATCACGTTTGTCCTTTTCCTCTGGCCTATCGAAAAAATCGCCCCCAATATTTCGCAGCAAGACTTCTTGTGTGTCCCTCGAACATGTTCGACCTTCACAGGTGGGCTCTCCCGGGCGCCCCAACATCGAGGTTCCCCTCGAGACCGACGTGAACTGGAAAGGACATCGCTTCTTGCTGACCAGCGGCATTTCTCAACGTTCAAATGCTCTAGAGTCTACCCTCCGCAGCTCGCGCGCCTTCTACGGCACCAGCGACCTGTCGGTGGCCATCAAAGGCGATGGGGTTGTTGTGCAGCCTCGTGGCGGGGGCAAGGGCGCATCAAGAAATGTCGAGGCGGGCGCATCTACGAAGTGGCAGATGACCAACTTCGAATCCTTGTACGCCGCCTCCAGGTGAACGGCGTGTATGAGGTCCTACAGTAGGTGGAACGGCTTGTACCTCGAGCTGTTGCATACGATGCCGACGTTTCGGGGCGCTTTGATGCTTGCGCGCGTGCAGCAAGCTCAATAGTGAATCGTCAACCCACGTTCGCTCGGGTTACGCTCGAGACATAATGTGTTCAGCAGCAGGGGGGGGCGAATAATGATCTGTTGTAGCCAATCGTTGTGCGCGGAATGGTGTTTTCTGGTCCACGAGCGAGGCGTGACCCGTCTGAAATGAACTATGTAAGTCCGAAGACCCCCCCCCCCCCCCCGCCCTTCCCTTTCAACCCTACCCCTATGTTCTCCATAGCAGACAGTAACTCACAACCGTCCTCCTGCCTCGTTATACTGCACGAACGGTGCCTGCTGTGTCAGCGGTGCATTCAGCGAACACTTTCCGGTTGACGATTCAGGCCATGAGCTCGCCACGAAGGAATATCATGTTGACCTCGCTGATCTCGACGAGGAAGGCATCGAAGCAGAGGAAGAGACCATGATCGGAGTAAACGCGGACGACTCCCAGGACGAGGTTGCAGTCGTCGTAGGGACGCTCAAGGCGAAGGCGAACCTTATGGGAGGTGGGGAGTTTTCCCCCTTCATTCCCGTCCTCACCGTAAACGGGTGGTAGCGACCAAGTGTAGGCTGTCACATGTCTTTGGAATTTGGATCACCAAAGCCGAAAGTGAGGCGCGCGGAACCAGTAGGCTTGCCCGAGCTTGCCTTGAAACCGCTGTTGTTGTTTTATATCGGTGTCCCTCGTTCGTGCGTGTTCCCCTCGGTTTTCCCGTGTCTGCCGCGTCGAACCGTCTGTGCATCTAAACGCTTCAGACTGTAGCTTGATCAGTGACTCCGTGGAAAATCTTTTCGAACAGGACCTGATCTACAACAACACGTGAGCGCGGTACAGAAAACAAGGCATCATTCTGATTATTACGTTTTGGTCGAACGGGTACAAGTTTCAAACACTGTGCATTCATACTTGGGAGATATAGGCCAGGTCTTCAGGAGAACCACGCTGCGGTCGAACGTTCGTGCGTCTGAGCTACGTTTACCGGCAAATTGCACACACGTAGAGTTCTGGCAGTTTCACGTCCACGAACCTGCGGCACATGAGTAATAACAGCACGCAGAAAAATGTAGACTGCATCCCTGCCGCTCGATCTACAACCGGTTCCCAGATCCAATCACGACCACCAAGAAGACACACAGTTGTTTTAGTCTCCTTTAGTCCCTTTGGGCCGAAACTTCAACCCCTTCCCGTTAACTCACCTCTCGACCCCATTCTGGAACACGCCTCCTTGGCCGGCGCAGTGTGTCTTCAGCGGTGAAGCATAATCCGGACGGTGATCTCGAAGAAGCGGGCGACGACGGAGCAAGCATAACCAAGAAGAAGATTGCTATCAGGAGGCTTGGCACGCGGGAGTTCCACGCGTTTCGCAAGGTTGAGTCGGCAGAGGGAAGGGTAGGACCGGTAACGACCAAATCGTGGAGCAAGATGGCCATCGTGAGGTTAAACCGGCGAACGTCACAGAGCAGGTGCGTGTCCTCAAGAGCGGCTTGAGCCTCATACATGAACACACGCATCGGATTCAACGGGTTCATTGGTAGGGTAAGAAGAGCTTTGGCATGCGGTAAGGCTTCGGGTGAGGAAAGGCCCTTCCAAGGAGCCCCGAGTCACGACCTTTCTCTGAGCGTTCAAATATGTCAGTGTATGCCCTCTTCGTTAGGCAAGCTTTTCCCAACGTATTCCTTGGGTGCGGCGGGTTTGTTGGCGTGACATGCTTCCACAGACTCCTACCGTAAAAAGTGCGAATCACCCCATACACCCTACTATAGCTCAACTGCTCCACAACGAAGAAAATATCAACGATGAAAACAGCGGTGATACAGTAGGATGATCACGCCGGCCGTTTACCTTGCTTCGATCGGCCGGCGCTCCCAAACTTTGGTTTGTGAGCAATCGATCTTTGACAGCCAGTCTAGGAGGTGTGCTACCGTTCGAAATATCTAAGCCGGTAGTTGCTACTGAATATGTATCCAGAGCTTCCTACTTTCGACGGATGTTCTGGGTACCTGAAATGAAACGTACAACAAACCCTGCTGCTGCCAATTACCCAACAATTCTTTATGGTCCCTGACTTAACCCGCCCATGACAATATGCAGCCCATGCGCTTGTACCTGCATCGGGCTTACGTGGGTCCTCAACATCTTCCGCACCCCCGAGACTGCTAGCATCGCCGACGTCGAGGAAACCAACGACCTAGAAACGATCCCTCTCCGCGTATACGGGCCATACCGTTCCGAGTACGGCCGCCTCGAGGAGTTCCCAAACCTTCCTCCTCTGCTGGTAAGAGCTGATGTGCCTGATCCATCCTTGGTACTCTGATAAGATGCCTAGAACCAATCCAAAGACGACAGAGATTTCCAGAGTTTGATTGCCGGGAAAGGTGGCGTTGGTTGTCGACGGCTCGTGTTTTAAACCTTGCCGAAGCTGACCCCCATCGTGATTGATGCCATTGAAACACGTATCTGCTACTTGCTGTTTATGGGTCGTTTTGTTTCGCTGTTTGCTCTATGTATCGCTACGTTTGGGAAGATCATTGCCACGGGTGCGGGTGCTGGTCTCGTGCTCGACTTCGTCGGGTTCGTTAGGGCCAAGAAGATCACGCCTAAGCGGCCGGTGAAAGTCTGCTACTCCTCCGCTAGCCTGGCTCTGTTGCAGTTTGTGACCAACACGCTACTCGCTGAGCGCACTCCCGGGATTCAGGTCGAGACTGCGCTGACTCGCCACGAAGAGCTTGAGGTATCACATGGGCGGGGGCAACGGTGGCGGTGTAAAGGGAGTTTGGCACTGTTGTACAGTTGGACCCACCAAGGAGGTTATAGCGGCGAGGCGAAGGGGAATTCGGTAGATATGACCCTGTCATTTCTTCCACGCCAGTTTGGAAGGTTACTCGCCAAGAGCCCACCCACCACGGTCCCGCTGGTACATATTCCACACATGCAGCTCCCATCCTACGAAACAGATCTCGGTTCCACGACAGCCATACTGCGCAACCTGCAGCTACAGTGGTGAGCACCATCTCCACACGAACGGATGAGGCGGGATTGCGTCTCGTCTGCGGGATGCTCGCCTACTCTTGCTGGTGCACACATCGTCCCTACGATGGAAGCACTGCCAAATGCTTCTGATGGGAGTCCAATGTATTGTACACTCACACGAAAGCTCATGATGCTCTTCTTGCTCTTTGCAGATGTTTAATACGACCAACCAACCCAAGCCAGAGCTCGTTATTGGTCGGCTCGACGTTAAGGTGAGGGGTCGACACGCGGTGGACAACCGTAGGCCCAGTTTCGTGATATGGCTTTCGCAAGTTTCGCCACACCCCCCGCACACGACGTCACTCCAAATCCCCCCCCGAAAGTTGAACAAACCGTTCATTTCTCGAGCACGGAGGCAAGCGTTTACCAATAAGATACGAACAATATAATTTGTCATACTCAAGAGGCACCTGTCTTCGTGTGTAGGTGCATCCCTCGGTGCAAGATTTCTTGGAGTTGAACTCACATCATGAAATAACCTACGGTCGGAAGCAGATAAAAATCCAAACCCATTCTTGGTATTCTCGTTCGCGACCTCGACCACTTCTGTGTCGTTTGCTTTCGCAAACTCTCAGTCGATCATCCGCGGAGTTTCCGAAGACACGGAGGTTTATTTCTGTGGCGGTGGGGGCATCAACACGCTTCTTCGCGAAGCATGTGCTAAGCGCGGCATGAAGTACGTGGGAAGCGCGGTCCAGTAGCAAGCCCCACCTTGATAATCGCGCAAACCTTTCACCTCGAGCGTGGACGACCAATCAACCGGTGTGCTCCCCAAACGTCGGTCACACATATATTCTCGGCATAGAGCAAACATGACTGAAGGAGGTTGTATGGACAAGACCCCCGAGATGTGCACCAAATGTAGACCAGATGTGTGTGTGTGTTTGTCTATCCAGTGAATGGAGTGAATTCAGAGCACAGATTCGGTGGGAGAGTACGCGTGCTCAGGGTTTAGGCAAGGAAACTCGCCCACTGTACAAGTTAGTCGAACGGTGTTCATAGAGTACAGCTGTCCGACGAAACTACCACACACTCTGGGGGACTTTTTCTTGTTGAAACCGTTCCACGACGAGACAGAATCGGACACCTGTAGGAAGAAACCAAGCTGGGCAACACACCAGAGGTCACGAAAGTACCCTTTGGGGGTCACGGGAATACCTCATCGTTTACGAGTATTGTCCTAGTTGCTGGTGGTGGATACCGACATGAGGGTCAACTCTATAGATGCCCAAGTTGACCATGGGGCACCAACTCATATGAAGTGTTGTTGGATGTCAAGGCCGAAAACCCCATTGGAATACATCAGTGTGGCCAACGGCATGTGTTGTCAGTTGGCACCGCTGTGACTCCATCCCGTGGCGTGCTTCAATTTATTGGCCCAAGGTCGTTGACGTAAAACGTACTCCAAGCGTAGATGCGGTGTATACTCCGTGCAAGTCTAAGGCGGGGCGGAATCCATATTGATGGGGGTGTGGATAGTATTTTTAGGAATTTGGACAGTACTGCATGAGGTCGCGACCTGCCATATCTCCCCACGTTTTACCTGTGGATGCTGTGAGCTTGTGTAGAAGGGACGTGTTGGGATGCGTGTTCCGACTGAAATACCAAAACAGGTTGTGAATGCATTTCACTGGGATGGTTGAAGCTGGTGGGGTTTCGTGGAGGATGTGCAGTATGGCAAAGCCGTGTGTCGTTGTATAGAGTTGGGGCCGCGTGGGCAAGAGGGAGGGGTTTTACACTAGGGATCTGTTACGAGGAACCGTGCGCAAAGAGGTGATGGATTCTAGCGCGGGTGTCCTCCACGAGAATCCACCGTATCATGAAGTAGGAAAGTATCATGTGTTGTTGTTGATGTTCGCGATGACGTCGTGTTCCCGCAGAGTGTCGTTGTGGCGTCGGTATTCTGAAGGTTAGTCGAATTGGTCGAGCTGGGTGAGGCTTCCCTGATTCAGGGTACTATCACACTTAGTGAGAGGACGCGTCCGGCGTTGAATTCGGAGTACGATTTTCACAAACTTTCCTCGGCTCTGGCGAATGGCTTGGTAGGGCCTGATGGCCTCTAATGATTCGCCGAGTACGATAAGTGAATCTGCTGGGAAGGGAAATAAATATAAGCATGTGTGAAGTTTACTTATTAATATATTGGGTGGGTACGTGTGGTGAACGTGTCGTTTCGAATACGAACAAATCACAAAGAAAGGCTTGTTGCAGGTGCTGAAACAGCTAGCAAAGCTGATGTATGCCAAAGGACCTTGCGACCCCCCGCCCCCCTCCTCCTTGTTCTGCGCCAGTGCTGAATGCTCTCTTTCTCTGGCACACAAAGATTTTCTTCCTGTCCTGCAGAACACTACGGGGTACCCGAGGTGGCACCCAGCGAATAAGCAACCGATGCCTTATTCGAGACGATACCAAGTACATCATCCAAGAAAAATGACACATCATCATTTTCCATTTCCGGGAGACAAAGCAGCTTTGTTTGGTCAATCACCAAAATACTACATTATTAACACGTGAAAATCTCAGCGATTGATTCCATGCGAAACAGGTTCATCGAGCACGAGCCGACGGTAAATCTCTCTCTTCTTATGTTATGTAGATTAATACAGACGACTGCAGGGCATTCCGACTTCGAAGAATATTTGTGAAACTTTCAATAAATAGACTAGAGGTCTCGGCAGAACATAATGTGCGCTCACAGTGTTGACGGTAGGAAAAGCAAAAGTATCGCTGCTATTTTATGCCTACCAACTTGAAATTGTATCACTCGATTTTATATTGCTGTACAAGGACAAAATTGGTCTTCCAACAAGCGCGTGTGCAAGTTACCAGAGGGTTGTTCGCCGATATCGCAGTTCATTCAATACTGTAATCCGACGACGCCAAGTGTATTGGTATAGACACGCGTAGCAATCCCTGAAGACCTTCCTTGGTGAAGACTCACTTGTTTATTCATCTCTTTGGACAGCAGTGCATGCTGATTGCGTGCTCTCTGTGGTAGACTGAGCATGTGGGGGCAGACCAGCTCCCTCTAACAGGGGCTGCCAAGGTCCTGTCCCCTGCTTTATCCTTCAATCGGGAGTTACATCTCCCGCACTTTCCTCTGGGCATTAAGCCCGCACTACCGTTGGTACTTTACACATTCAAATCCCGTAACAATACTTGACGAAAAAATCGAGGTATGTCTAAACCCGTACAAGAGAGAGAGGTGTTCGGAATCGATAATCGACAGTAGCTCCCAGCAGAATACATGTATGAGGAATGAAAAGAAGAACAGATCTCCAACCGACGAGCTGAACCTGGGGACAGGACCGCTGTTTTCGGATTCGGGACAGCCACACCCAACCCGAGGAAAGTACACCTGCGGCAGGACGATGGGCGAAGATCTCTTTGGGCTTTGGTTCGTGATGACACTTCAGAAATCCAAAGACAACCAGACAGAGTAAACGCTCTTGAAAACTTCGATATTACAAGTATTGTCTCAAAACGACCACATGCCATAGGCCGGTCGCCCCGGTGGTCTAGTTGGTAGCCTCGTAACCGTCTAGAGGTCAGGTCAGGGGTTCGAATCCCGGCGTAGGCGAGCTTTTCTTGCAAAGTGAGTTTTTCTCTCGCTTCCGCTCCTGGCCAAGTGGATAGCGCTAGTTCGTGTGTACACAGAGGGAAGAGAGTGCTGAACTCTTCTCGCATTAAAAATCGAAGGCAAAGTACCGCAGGAGGGGAGGGTATAGAGAGGCTCTTCTGTGTGACCACGGGTTGGAATAAACGGCACTAGTGCTGTGAGCGCTGATTTGAAGTGAAGAACAAAAAAAAATAAATAAAAAAAATAGGAGGACCGCCGTCAGCATTCATCGCCGTCGCCGCCGTCGCCGGTGGCCTGGAGAAGAAGAAGCGACTCAGTCAAAGTCCTGGCCACACCCCTACCGATTTCTCTGGACCTTGCAACGGGTTTCTGCCTGCCGACACAACCGACAGCGAGCGGTCACAGGTCACCGGTCGGTGGGAGATCACGCCGCGGCACGGGATTTGTAGGGTCGACCTCCGCGCCTTTCATGGCCGTGCCTAAGGGTACCCAGGTGAGATTCGCAGGCGCAGCCGAAAGCAATTGTTGGAGAGAGGTGAGAGCTCGTGGTGTGACCGAGTTCCGGAGTGATTGTATCTCGCCTCATGATACAGTGTAGTACAACGCCAGATTTGGTTCGGTTCATGGACTGCTGTGAAGACGGCTCACTTGCTGCTCTCTGTGGGCGGGTGGGTGGGCATACATTCCGTATTTCGTATCGTTCATATCGAATCATTTCCCTCTCGTTGAGAGTTTCGCTACGACGTCGGCAGTAAAAGAAGTTCCAAGCAAGAGGTGAAGACGCCCAGTGCAGATTCACTACCCAACAGCGAACACACAACCGTATGTTATTCTTCCCAAGCCTTGTTAGTGAATTTTTTTCGATCGTCACATCACATCATCAGTCTTTCCACCTATTACTACACCGACGACGTCCAGAGCTCTCATTTCTAAGGAAATCTTGTTCTCTTCGCACGGGCACAAGCGTGTCACCCTTTACCGCAAGGGCACACAGCATCAAACGGGTGTATATCAGGGGGTTGGGGCGACACAGAACGAACGGCACAGCGAATTGAGCCGGGAAATGACCAGGCGTGTGATTGTTCGAGAAAAGGTGGTCGATGATGCATGCACGGGATGTACTGTGCTCCGATCTCAGAACACTTAACAAAATGCAAATATATATGGCGCATGCCACAACGGCAGTGACGATGTGTCTTGGTGCGGTTCTACATGGGCAGAGAGGGAAACTGTCGGGAACCGCAGAGAAGAGGTCAAACGACATCATCGGTGTCATGCTTTGTTGTCGGCGCTCGGATCTTGGCCATGGTTGAGTTAGATCCGGAGGATCGAGTTTGAAGCGTCTCAAAATGTAGACTATCCCGGATATTTTCGCAATATATGCCAGATGATGGATCTTCACGAACTGGTGAGACCGCTTCTTCCCCTGCTGCTGCTGCTGCTGAAAATGAAGCAATACTCTTCTTGCACTTGAAGTCTAGACTGCTGTGCATGCATGCCGTTTTTTACTATGTCATGCATACTGCTGCTGTAGTAGATCGATGCTTCAAGCATAAATCATCATCATCGTTGTGTGGAGATTTCCCGGGAAGAACGCCCAGGCCTCCTTGTAATGGAGCAACTACATAGTGTGCGAGCATTGTATGATGAGCGTTTCGTGAACGTTGTACGAGCTTATCGGGTGTTTTGGATTTTCGTTGGATATGGATATTTGGCGTCGTTGAGGGGTAGACTCTTGAAGTAGCTTGAAGGAAGATCAAAATACCAGCCCAGTTCCCTCACTCCCCGAGTGGGCGCAGAGCGGACCTGGTCTAAGAAGGCTAAAACAAGAGATCAAACAACAACTGTGAGTACCCGAAGCCAGGAGCAACGAACTTGCTCCCTTCCCCTTCTATTTCTCTGTCCCTCCATAACATATCCTTGCGCGTAGCCAGACCGAGTGCACCTGGTCCATGGCAACAACAACAAAAAAGGCATTCCCCGATATTGGTGGCAAGATATGAAATTTTTAAGTCAGGTGGCCGTTAACACCCGGGTGGCCTTTAATACCCGCCTCTAGTCAACACCTCAAAAACACGTGTCGAGGAATATTCGGGATTGTCGAGATACGGGACCCCCAAT